CCACACCCACACCCGCTTCTCTAGAAGTACAGTCATGTCTCCTCACACAGGGCATACATTCTGATAAAGCTAAGAGGTTCTGTCAGGGTATCGGTCACACTGCCCCAAACTCAAGTGTACAGGTCGCCACTCCACGTAGCCTCATGCAATCAAGACAGTGGGCAACATGAGATGTATTTGGATGTCAAAATCTAACAGCAAGCTACCATACAGTAAGCATTTTGGTTTTTCTGTGTGTTTGTTTGTTTTCGGGTACCCCGGATGCCGTGGGTCTCACACATATAGACAGGCAGGCTGCATCTCCAGCTTCAGTAAATGATTTTTTCATAGCGTGGGAATGCACTCTGAAACAATGACAGTGCAGTACAGTAAATATGTAAGCCAGTAGATTCATCATTCACTGGCATCGTCAGAGTTAGCATGCTGTATAATTGTGTGTGCTGTACTTTTATGGCTGCTAGCAGAGTAGGTTTGTTTACAGTAGATCACCACAAACAGGTGAGCAATGTCCTCTGATGTTTGAACAGTTACCATGTCACTAGAAGATAAGAAATTTTCAGCTGTTATTATCTAATGAGACAGCCTGTGTCTGTGGTCTGTCACTGATCAAAAACATCATGTAAAAAGACTGAACAATAATAATAATAACAATACTACGAGGATGACACTTTGAAACTTATCTTCCAACCACTATCTTGTTGCACTGTGAAGTGCTGAACTGTTGGTAAGGAGACTGGGGCGCAGAGCTTAGTGGTCTGTCTATATGGCTAGCAGGTGGCAGGAAATCTCTGACCTGCAGTATTGAAAGTCACTTGGAAAAGAGTCCTTTGTGCCAGAAGGAGGCGCTATACAATGACAAGAGGAAAAAGAATATACAAGGTTTGTTTTTCTATGGTATTTGTGGCTCAATTCATTCAAACATATTCATTCCAATGTTACACCAGGTAGGTCCGATGAGGCCGGCATTCCTACCACAACCGTGGCTTAGGGTAAGTGGTGCTACTGTTGGGTGGCTTAGGGTAAGTGGTGCTACTGTTGGGTGGTACCTATACAAGCTGAGCCTTGTTCTCAACCCTGACTGTGGGTTAGAATCATGAGAAGTGAATACGCTGTCATCTATCTATCTTATATCTGTCTATCTATCTATCTATCTATCATCTATCAAAACTGGTATCAAATTCCCTACCACCTCCCATCATAATTTTAGTCAGAATCTCAGAAGATGAGGCCGAGATGCCTTGGTTTGGGTGTTTACTAGACTTTTGTTATTTTATTTTTGAGATGGGTTCTCCCTATAAAGCCCAAGTGAGACTTCCATTCCTGGGATCAAGTGATCCTTCTGTCTCAGCCCTCTGAGTAGTTAGGAATATTGATATATATCACCATGTCCAGCAAAATACCACCAAGCCACAACACCAGCCCCTGATGTTTGTTTGTTTGTTTCTAAAGACTCCTAGATGGTTCTGAGGTTCAATCAACCTCTTTGATGAAACATACAGAAACAGACCTAGCAAGAGGGCATAATTTACTAAATGTCAAATGTTCTGGAAGCAAAGGGCAGATACACTAACTTCTAGCTCAGAAAAAAAAAAAAATTCAACTCGGGTGTTTGTGGACATGGCTCAGTGGTTCTGTTCCTAGGCCCTTGCAGGAGAACTCACAATTGTCTGAAACTCCAGGTCCAGGAGATTTGACCCTCTTTGTCTGCCCTCCAGGGGGGCACTGGCACACACACTCCCATACAGACGTGTGGGAGTATATACATGCATATGCATAATTTAAACTAATATAAATCTTTAAGAAAAAAAACCTCAACTGTTATTTCAGACAGGGCCATCCCACAAGGAGACACGGCATGAGGACCCCCTGGAGACCAGGCAGCACACAGAAAGCCACTTGCTCACACAGCTTACACAGCCTGGTTGTTGACAGTGTTCTTTCCCCCAGCAGCATCACTTGGCTCAAGACCTTATTAAATTCTAATGTAATCCAGAATTATGCTTTTAAGAAATTTTTAAAAACTGTATCATCAAAAAAGAAACAAAATAACAAAAGAAAACTGTATCATTACTCTGTGAGCATGTGTGTATGGGGCTCATAGATACAGATATGTGCAGATGTGCACCTACTAGGGTATGTTTGTGAAAGTCTGTGGACAACTCTTAGGAGCCAGTTCTCTCCTTCTACCATGTGATCTGGGATCAAATCCAAGTCTTCCGTTTTATTTAGGAAGTCCTTCTATGTGCTGACCTACCAGTCCTAGGAGCCCCAGAGTTCTTATGCTTCTTGGGTCATGCCTGAACTCAGGCATTCCTTGGATGGACAGCCCTAAAGCTCCTCTAATGTGCTCCGTGCTGTTGTGTCCCCAGTGGTAGACTTCCCACCTGATGGGAATCAGCAGCCCAATATCGCAGAGCCTCTAGGCCAAGCTGTCCACCCTTGCAAGATGTGGTCCTGAGTACTCTTTTTTTTTTTTTTTTTTTTTTTTTTTGAGACAGGGTTTCTCTGTGTGGTTCTGGCTATCCTGGAACTCACTTTGTTGACCAGGCTGGCATTGAACTCACAAAGATCCCCCTGCCTCTGCCTTCTGAGTGCTGGGATTAAAGGCATGCTCTACCACTACCCAGCCTGGATTACTCTTAAACCAAATGATTTTAGATATGGAACCAAGCGGATCTGGGAATCTGTTGCTTTGGCGAATCTGCTAGTAAGCAGATTCCTATCATTTTAAAATTCATCCATTTGAGCATCTAGATGGAGGAGGAAGCTTTGCTTCTTAGTGTAGTGCAGGCACCTTGCCCTCTATTTGCCTAACCTGCCTCTGCCCTTGTTCACAACCTCACTGTCTTCAAAAGAGAATCCCCTGAGACCAGGCCTTTCCTCTGCATCTCCTACCACACCCAACCACTTGGCCCCTCCCCAAGTGGAGGGCTGCGTTAACCAGCAGCACTGCGGTTCCCCTGGGCCTATCTTTCCACTGTTGTGGGGTGTTCACCAGAGAAGACTGCTCGGACATGGGTTTAGCCAATAGAAAGTCTTTTTTAGCCAGACAGTGACTACACTGTGTGTTTGGGATCCCAGTCTAGCCCGAGACTTTCTCAGGGTGAGCTTGTTTGTTTGTTTGTTTGTTTGTTTGTTACACAGAGTCTTACTGTGTAACTCTGACTGGTCTGGAATTCTCTATGTAGACCAGGCTGGCTTTGATCTCACAGAGATCCACCTGCCTCTGCCTCCTGGATGTTTGGATTAAAGGTGTGCGCCACCACACCTAGCAGTGGGGCTTTTTTTTTTGATTAATGATGAACGTGGGAAGGGCCCAGGCCACTGTGGACAGCACCACCCTCAGGCAGGTGGCCCTATGGAGCGTAAGAAAAGTAGCCAAACATAGCCTGAAAGCAAGCAGTAAGCAGTGTTCCTCTACGGTTCCAGTTCAGTTCTTGCCTCGTGTTCCTGCCCTGGCTTTGCACAATGATGCACTATGATACAAACTCGTAAGCCAAATAAAACCCCTTCCTCCCCCATGTTGGGTTAGTTTGGTCAATGCTTTATCTCAACAGAAACATAACTAGAACGTTCCCTGAATGCCAAGACCTTGGTAGTTTCACCCACAGACCTCTTTGTGTTTGGAGTTTACTTTCCAAGCTCCTGTCCAATTTCTCCCCTGGACTGTGAGCTGGGGGGTGGGGGAGGTAGCGGGGCACAGTGCATCTTATATCTTATCAGCCTGTCCACTCTGCAGCCCTATAACCAAGTAGGAGTCTGTGCAATGATCGGGGGCGTGGGGTGAGCTAGAAAAAAGGAAGATGGAAAGAGGACCATCCATTGGCCTGAGGATGGGGCTCAGAAAGGTTCGAGCACACTCCCAGCTCCTAATTTCTGGGCCTCCCATTCTGCTGAATGGTTATGGGGAGTTGGTGGGGACACAGCTGAGAAGGGCTGGGGCTAATCATATGGAGGCTGGTATGCAGCTGAGAAGTGCTGAGCCTGAGATGGAGACGTAAGACCGTCAGTGCTGAGGAGCCCGTCCTGTGAGTGGTGACTGAGGAACACCACTAGATAGGACAGCAGGGACGTCTTAGAAACCAGAGGAGAGCCGCTCAGAGTCAGATGCCCCGAAAGCCACGGCACAAAGCAGCTGCCCCGTCCACCAGCTCCCCTCCTTCCTGTCCTGACACATTCACTTCTCAGGGGACAGCCATCTTGTGTGCCCAACAGGCAAAGCCTCACTGCCTGTCTGAGAGCCGCTCAGCTGGCCTTTGCTTGCCTAAGGCACCACCTTTCTCCTGGGTGCAGCTTGAGAAGTGGCCAGGACAATACCATTTCCCCACACATCCCTGCCCTACCCTTTTCTGGTCACCTCAGCTCCTCTAGTATCCCTCTCCTCTCTCTATCCATTGAAAATAAAATTGGGGTGAGAAGTGAAAACAGACAAAGGGCCTTTGATCTGTCAAAGGCGTGTGGCCTCTACTTTGCACACTACAGTCGTGGTGAACAGTGAACGAGCCTCAAGGCTAGAACTCAGAACAGGGAGTGGAGTGGGGTTCAGTAATTTGAAAACACTGTGACTGGGGCTGTTTCAGTCTCTAGACCAGTGGTTGTCAACCTGTGGGTCATGACTCCTTTGACAAACCTCTGTCTCTAAAATACATTTACAAATGATTCATAACAGTCATGAATTCATCAAAATTACAGTTATGAAGTAGCAGCTAAAGCAATTTTATGGTTGGTAGTCGCCACGACATGAGGAACTGTATTAAAGGATCAAAGCATCAGGAAGGTTGAGAACAACTGATCCAGGCCTTGGTGTGGTTTTCAGGGTTTGAGGATGTCCTTGTTAGACCAGTGGATTCCAAGAGGGCATGGCGAGGAAAGATGAGGGGACACTAAGTGAAGCAGGCCTCACTCCTTCCTACCCTGGAGATGTGGCCATGTCCCTTACATTAGCATCACACATTCAGCTCACTCTGCACCAAGAAGTCTTCTGACTCTATTTGCTGCACCTAGGGCCCAGCAGCCTGAGCCTCAATGGACACAACGACCCTCATGGAGCCACAGTTTGACCTCAACTCCCACTCCTGACTGGAATTGTAGGCCATTGCTGGAGAGTCGGAGCCTTGCCTGGAAGACAGCCGGATGCTCAGCCAACGACACTGGGCCTCCTCGCAGGCCAGCACCACAGTGCCCTCGGGGTTGCTGTAGGTGCACTGGCTGTGGGCCGCCCTTCCTTCCACTGCCAGATCCCAACTGCCTCCTGGCTCTCTGTCATCCAGCCCCGGGGCTAGGAAACCCAAATGGCCCGGGGTGACAGGGCACACTAGCTGCTCCTGCTTCAGGCTGGGCACCAATTGGCCCTTGAGGTAGGCTGGGCCCGCACAGTAGGTATCCCTGTTGAAGATTCCTTCACTGTAGAGGCGAAGCCAGCTGGCGAGGTAGGCCAGGTGGCAGTCACACTGCCAGGGGTTGCCGAACAAGGCCAGGTTGAAGAGGTTGTAGTTGGTGTCAAAGATGCCCCCGGGGAGCATGGTCAGCTGGTTCTTAGACAAGTTGAGCAGCTCAAGCCTGGACAGGTTCTGAAAGAGGGCTGAGTGTAAGGCTGTCAAGTTGTTGCTGTTCAGAAAGAGCCTGACCAACTGCTTGAGGTCCCTGAAGACATCCTTAGGAAGGTAGGTGATGGCATTGTGCGAGAGTGTGAGGAAGACCAGGCGGGACAGGTTGGCAAAAGTGCCCTCGGTGATGGTCTCCAGCTGGTTGTAGGACAGGGACAGGTAAAGCAGCCGTGAGGTGTGGGTGAAGAGATCAGCAGGCAGAGTCCACAGAGCATTGTCCTGCAGGTTTAGAAAGGTCAGGTTGTACAAGGAGGAGAAGACAGAGTCGGGCAGGCGGCTGATGGCGTTGTGCTGCAGCCACAGCTTCTCCAGGCTGAGAAGCTGTGAGAACACTTGTGGGGACAGCTCCTCGATGGCATTGCTGTCCAGAAATAGCTCCTGCAGGCTGCCCAGATCGGCCAGCAAGCCCTCTGGGAGGCTGGTAAGCATGTTGTTACTCAGCTTTAGTATCTGCAGGTTGGTAAGTGACTGGAACAGCCCTTTAGGGAGCTTGTTCAGAAAGTTCTGGTCCAGGTTGAGGGTTCTCAGGTACCTCAGAGGCTGGAAGAGTCTCCCAGGCAGAGTCTGGAGCTGGTTCCCCTGAAGCTGGAGGGACTCCAGGTTGTCCATGTGGTGAAAGAGGTCCTCAGGCAGAGCCACTAGCCTGTCAAAGTCCAAAGTGAGCTTCCCCAGTGAGCTCAGGTTAGAAAAGATGTCGGCACTGAGGTTGGAGAAGGAGCTGCCTGTCAGCTCCAGGTCCTCCAGCCTGGGCAGTCCCCCAAAGGCATCAGGCTCCAGGTGACAGACAAGAGTGTTGAGGAAGACCACCTTTGTCAGGTTACTGTTATTACTGAAAGCCCTGGTCTCCACTGTGGTGAAGGTAGTCTCCACAAAGACAATGTCTGTGACATGTGAGGGAATGTCCAGTGGGATGGTGGCCAGCTGCTGATCTGTGCAGAATACCTCCCTGTCAAAGCAGTCGCAACCCATAGGGCAAGACTGGGTGGGCCTGGCCAGGAGCAGAAGTGAGGCCCAGCACAACCAGGATCCTGGGAACATCTTCTGAATCCAAGGAGGACAGAAAACAAAACAAAAGGAATGCCTTTAATAAGGGCATCACACTGCAGTGCCCAGAGCACTGGAAAGTGACCCCCACCCTCAAGGCAAGACCAGACTGTGAGCAAGAATTGACCTCTTCAAGGAGGCCTTGGTTTTGGCAACAGTTGCTTGTGGGATGCATTGCTGGGGACAGAACCTAGGGTTGTACATGCTAAGAAAGCTTTACCACTGAGCCCCAGTCCCGGCTCGTGTTTTTAGCAGCTTTGTACTACCTCCCAGCAGCCTTGCAAAAGGTAGGGCCTCACTCTTATTTCCTGGAAGCAAAGGCACCAGCCACGTTGCCTATCTAGTTACCCTGCAAGTTGGTGGACATAGCAGGACCAAGGCCTGGGTCTTCTGGAGGGTCCGTGTTCTTTCCAGATTGGAGAGTGTAATGGAAAGAGTCAAAAAACCAAAGGAGATGAGCACAGGTGGTATGGAATAATATGTAAAATATGGGCAGATTAGCCCTAGGTTGGAAATTCCTAACCCATGATCCTTCTTGATTTCTAGATCTTGGCATACATTAGGGCATTGCAAGGAGGAGTTCCTGCTCCCTCCTCTTAGTTGGGTCTGCTAAGGGTGACACAGTGCAGAGACTGGGCTCCTCAGAACTGTGCCAAATGCTGTCCTCTCTACCCCGACTGCTCCCCATGGTCCCTGTACCAGGGAACTTTCTAGGGTCCAGACACAAAGGTTTTACAGGAAACCCAGGGAGACCACGCTTCATTTACTAAGTATTCATCAAGAAACAAACAAACAAAAAAGGCTATAACAGTGGTCCACACCAGTGTTGTACACCAATCACATCACTCTGGAGGCTGGGGCAGAGGAAGGTCAAGAGTTTTAGTTTTAAGTTGGAGGTTTTAGGCCTGGACTGCCTAGTACGTTCACGGCCAACTTGAGCTATATTGAGAGGGCCTGGCTAAAAACAAACAAGTACAAAAGAAACCAGTCAGCACCTACTAACAGATGAGTGGTGCAGTCTCCAGGTGCATTTTGCTTAACCCTTGGTGGACCTGTAGGTCTCACATAGAAGCTAGGAGTCCTGTATTGAAAACCACGCTCCAAAATTATCTAGAAAGAGTAGGTTCACCTTCCCACCAGGTGAGACCAACTGGTGCTCAGTAGCCCCTGCCCATCGGAAGACATGTACTCTGTAAACCACAGTGGAATCTTCTTACCTGTGTACATGACTTGTGGACATTCAAACCCTGTGAGTTTAAATCCTAGGTTCATGACTTTCTAGTCGAGTGACCTTGGGCATGTTATTATCTGTGCTTTGACTTCCTTATATGCAGGATGGGAATAATGACAGTACTGACAAGATCAGGGTCATTGTGGGCCCTGAATGAGCACGTTTAGATCAGAGACATAGAAAGAGCGAGTAATTAGGAAACTATGCTAACTGTTAGGTTGCAAGGCACCATCATTATAAAGATATTTGAACAAAAAAATGGTCATAAGAAAATATCTTGTAGCTATAATACATTTGACTTTACAAAACAAAAACAAAACAACAACAACAAAAACCCAACCAAGCAAAAAAATCCTCTGGCTGTTTCTCTGCTGCCCTCTGTTGGCAGCCAGCACTGGCTCCTGCAGAGGCCATGGTGTTCATTGAGTAGAAGGCCACAGGGCAGCTCCCCTTCTCTGGACCGAATCTGTCCAGATACCGGCTATCAGTGGGCCAGAAACATGGCCTAGAGATCTCCTGAGAATAAGAGACAAGCAGCTTTGTTGTTAATATGCCAAAGGGGATCCAGTTGTCCATCACCCTTCCTGACCAAACCCTTTGGCCACTGGTACTCAAAGGAAGTTTCCAGAAAATGGTCCCTCAGCATATATAGCTATACAACTCTGGATGTGAAGGTCCTGAAGGCCTTTTCACAAGCACAGTGACTGTGGAGGCTTGAATGAGAATGCCCCCACTCCCACCTCTCCATAGGCTCGTGTTTGACTGTTTCCATGGACTGTTTAGGGAGAATTAGGAGGTGTGGCCTTGTTGGAGGAGATGTGTCACTGGTGCCCACACCGAGCCCAGTTTCTCTTTCTGTCTGCTGCTTGTGGAACAGATGTGAGCTCTCAGCTACTGCTCCAGCACCATGCCTGCCTCTCTGCTGCCATGCTCTCTGCCATAGTGGTCATGGACTCACCCTCTTAAACTGTAAGCAAGTCCCCAACTAAGTGTTTCCTTCTAGAAGTTGCCTTGATTATTATGTCTCTTCGAAACAATGGAATAGTAATTAAGACACTGACACAACCCAGGAGTCCCTCAGCAGACCACAGGCCTCCTGGCATTGCCGCAAGGAAATCTGCAGTCATGGTTGGAAGAACCTCAAAAGGACAGCCAAGGCCTCCTGAGGACAAGTGTCACCCATTGAGCCACCAAGCTGGCTCAGAGCTCCTCTTACCCCTTTAGCCTGGGGCCTCCTCCATCACTGTCATTAGAAAACAAGGGCTGGAGAGGCTCCTGAGAAAGACAACCATCAAGAATCCAGACATTAGCTAGGCAGTGGTGCACACCTTTAATTCCAGCACTCAGGAAGCAGAATCAGGCAGATCTCTGTGAGTTTGAAGCCAGTCTGGTCTACAGAGCGAGTTCCAGGACAGCTCCAAAGCTACAGAGAAACCCTGTCTCGAGAAACCAGGAATAAAAATAATTCAGACATTGAAGAAAACTATGACCCCTTGGCCTGGTGGCACAGAAATCCAAGTGCCGAAGATTTACCCAGTCTACAGGTGTTGGAGAAGTGTCTGGCCTTTGTGGGGCTGTGGGGACATGGGACCAGGGGCAGGACTGAGAGACTGTTTGTCCACTCCCAGAGTTCTCATACATACAAGCTGCTCCTTGGGGAAGCCTAGACAAGCTCAGCAGAGGGGAATCAGGACTCCCATAGCATGTGACTCAGACACTATGGAATCGGGGTTAGCACACGTCTGACTCTAAGGGTCTTCACTGAGCCTACATGGTTTTTGTATCAGACAGGGAAAAGGTAGGGACTGGCAGGCTCACTCCTCACAGTCATAGGCCCAGAGTTATCGCACCCTCTGTCTATCACGTCTCTTCCCACTTGAAATTGTAGGGCTGAGCAGACCTGCTACCTACAGCTACCTTAGGTGTTCCACAGGCAAAGGGCCTGTGCTTCTGTGGCAGGGGCAGTCTAGGAAAGAGGGCTCTGGGAAGCTATCCACACCAGCTCAGGTCCCAGTACCCAAGGCATGGTTTAAAACAGCTATACAGATGGGCATGTGTCCTTGGGTTTGTCATCTTCTCAATCTTTGGGAGTATCCTTAGGAGAGGGACCAGAACAGTGCCCTCTAGGGTTTAGGATGAGACCCTCCTTGTTTCAGTCTACAGGGATGGGATGGGAAGGCAGAGAGGAAATGACCCATTCCCAGCCCTAGACTTGGTCCCGACCAAGAACTAGCACTCTGTAGTCAGACAGTATGGGCTCCAACCCTTATTCAATGTGTACTTTAGCTAAATTATGCATCCTGTCTATGCTTTGCTTTCTTCATTATTAAGGCAGTAATACTATTTCTTATGGGGGGTTCTCATGAGGACAAAATGAGAGAATATATAGGAAATCCCAAGTCCAGAGTGGGTATGTTGTGAGTGATCTGGCCGGAGAGTGGCCATGGTTCTCCCAAGCTCAGCAAGGCTCAGCTCTGGTCAAATGTCACCAGAGGTTTGCTGTGGAAAACCTGGTAAGCTCATGGGATCCCTTCACCATGGAGCAGGGTGACCCCTCCCACAGCCCTATTCCTAAGACTGTCCTTAGAAAAGCAGACTCTCAGAGCCTTGGCTTGGGTCCCCTTCTTAGCCTAGGAGTGAGGGAGGCTTGGCTGTGTGGTGCACACAGGAATGTACAAACACAAGAGTAGTTTGAGAAAATGAAGACTGTTTTCACCCAGTCACCCAAAACAGTCAGATGAATAATAACCCACATTTCAGAATGGGGGAAAGGCCAGATGCCCTTCCCTAAGAATGGAGTATGGGGCATGGTTGTGGTTATTTACTGGTCTTCTGAGATGCAAAGCAGGCATCTTTCACAGCTGTGACCTCTGGTGCAGACCTCCACTGTCTTTGGAGGTGGGAGTGCCCAGTGATGTGTTCTCTTGAGAGAGGGCTAGGAAGGGGACCCAAGCCAAGACTCTGAGATCTGCCTCTAGTCAGTGAAAAGGACAGTCTTAGGAATAGGGCTGTGGGAGGGGTCTCTCTGCTTCATGGTCTACTTAATTTTGGTATTTGATATTTTTATTTGCAAGGCTGTTTATAATAAAGTTTATAAAATTAAAAAAGTCTCAATGCCCATTGTGAAGGAGTGTGGGTAGTGCTGTGTGATGTCACCTCTAGAGTGATGGGACACTTTTATTGACATAATGTTTGCAGAATCAATGAAATCTGTCTAACTTCGAAGAATACATTGCTATTTATTTATTATTTAATCCTCAGGATTAAATAATAGGATCAAACCCTAGGCCTTATGAGTGTGTATCACTCTACTGCTCAGCTGCATCCCAAGCCTGTTTGTATTTTTATTTTGTGACACAGTGTTACTAAATTGCCCAGGCTGCACTTGAGTTCACTCTGTTACCCAGCCAGGCCTTGAACTCCAGTTCCTCTGCTTTAGCCCCTAGAATAAATGTGATTATCAACCTGTATGGCCAGGCCTCGCTATGCTTTAACTTTTAATACACATATGTGCATATAAACAGTAACAGATTATAGAAAACACTTTCAGTAGTTGTAAGTGAAAAATAGAATTGTGAGATACTTTTAATTTGTTTCTTTTGCTTAAAAAAATATGTGTCCACCAGCAAGGACTATACAGCAAGACCCTGTAACTGGGAGAGGATGCCATAGGAATAGATTCAGGACCACTTCCCACACCTGTTGCTAACTCATTAGATGAGTGATAGGTGGTAAAGACCAAACAAGGTCTGTAGCATGGAAAAGATTAATGGAATATCAAGAAATGAGGAATTTTGCCGGGTGTTGGTGACGCACACCTTTAATCCCAGCACTCGGGAGGCGGAGGCAGAGGCAGGCCAATTTCTGTGAGTTCGAGGCCAGCCTGGTCTCCAGATCAAGTGCCAGGATAGGCTCCAAAGCTACACAGAGAAACCCTGTCTCGAAAAACCAAAAAAAAAAAAAAAGAAATGAGGAATTTTGTGTTGTTGTTTTTTGAGACAGGATTTCTCTGTGTAGCCCTTGTTGGCCTGGAACTTGCACTATAATCCAGACTGGCCTCAAACTCACAGAGATCTGCCTGCTTCTGCCTCCCGAGTGCTGGGATTCAAGGTTTGTGCCACCACACCGAGCATTGAATGAGGGTTTTATACTACTTTATGAGAATGGTCTTAGTTACTTTAAAGAAAGTATCAAGGGGAGCCCTGCGAGCTGTTGCATGGCCACCCTCTCCTGAGTTAAAAATGCCCTAGGTCTTTTAAAAGAGCCCAGTTCCACCTGCTAACGTCCAGGCTCTCTGAACCATTTCCCAGCTGAATGTAGATGCAGCCAACACTTAAGACCACTGCAATGCATCCCGAACTTAGGCCCAAAATATGAAATTAAAGAGTTTTGCAATTCCAATGTTTCATATCAATATTCTTTTATGTGATATTTCAGTTTAGGCTATTGGTGCTTAAGCTGATAACTAACTTTAGAGAAATACAATCAAGTGTCTGTTATTCTACACCATGCTTAATGGTGTCATTTGTGAAATCAATAAAATCTAATCTCTTCTGAAAAATACTGCTCTCTCTCTCTCTCTCTCTCTCTCTCTCTCTCCCACACACACACACACACACACACACACGCACACGCACACGCACACGCACACGCACACGCACACGCACACGCACACGCACACGCACACGCACACGCACACACACACACACACACACACACACACACACACACACACATTTAGTGCTGCCGTTAACCTTGGCCAGAAAAAGCTTCTCTCTTCAGGGGTCAGCAACTGAAGCAGAGACTCATTACTGCTGAGAATGCATGACTATTGAGTGCTCAGTCATACATGGGACATCGCTATCGATAACGACCTCCTGCCCCTGCTGTGAGGCTGAAGAGGGGGTGGAAAGAACTTAAGAGCCGGAGGATGGGGAGAAGTGCTAGGAAATGCTGGCTTCTGGCCATGACATGGATGTCACCCTCATGAACCCACTACAACTATGGTTACCATCACAAGACCGCCACCAGATCAAGCCAACAGGCTTAGTCAATGTTCCAGCAGGCATATTGACCCGACTCAGTGGGTTATTTAAAAAAAATAAAGATGTCAAGGGCATGAAGGTGTGTGGTGGATGTTAGAGGTTGCCTGGGGGGAGTGAGGGGACTTGGGTGTGGGTATGATCAAAATACATTGTTTACATGTGTGAAGTTGGCGAAGAATAAATAAAAGATTTTCTATTTAAAAACATGTTCTAGCGCATCTCTTCCTTGGGTCCTCTCTCACTCTTGGGAGTCCTTTCTTACTTTTCCTTAATAAATCTACATTGGTTCTGCCTAAAAAATAGGATCATATTTCTAAATATTTTATAATAATAAACACGACGCATCAGATCTAAAGTGAGGAACAGGAAGGCTGCCTTATAAAATGGAGGTAACTGTGTAAAGCACTAGGCACAGACCCCCGGCATCCCCTGGGAGGTATAAGCCTTGACCCCGAACACCAACGCCAGCTCCAGCACCCTACCGTGGGACTTGCCTGTCTCTAGCTCTCAGATCTGGCATTGCAAAGGATCATGGGAGCTTGGCTCTTTGCTGTGTTGGTTTTGTGGGAGAGCTGTACTTTGACATAAGAAGGCATGGACTGGCTATGTCATTTTCCCACTCTGCCACACTTCTAGCCCCTGGGTGATATGGCAAACTGTCTATGCTTACCATCATCTATCACTGCCTGTTCCTGTCCTACCCACCCTTCCAGGCCAAGAGTCCCCAGCAGGCCTTCACAGATTGCCCCTCCTTCGCCTGGCAGGTCACTGGTGTCCTTTGCTAAGTGCTGGGTCCTTCTGCTCTGTGTTCTAGTAAATGTGTATTCCAACTGAACCCCCAGGGGTCAGGGTCCTGGAGTATTTTTACCCCCAGCTCTGCATCCCAGCAACTGAGTCAGGGCTGGGCATAGAAATAGTACCAGGCTGAAGGAATGGAATGTTTGTGGCTGTCTGTGGCCACTCCTCATCTGCTTAATGGCATGGAGAAGCACTCGGGCTCTGTCAGCCTAGCCAGATCTGTGTTCAAACTCAGACACTGTACTTACCAGCTGTGTGGGCTCCAAAGGATCCCCTCCCCATCTATCAAAGCCTTAATTTCCTCATCCTAATTAGAATCCTAGCCCTTCAAGTTAAAATTAGCCCCCAGATTGGACAGTACATTTAAAGCACCGCATAGAGCCTGGGAAATGGCAAACATTCAGTTTAGTTCTAGAGAGAGTGTGAACACCATCATCTAAGCCTGACACTGGGGATAAAAAGTGGACAGCATTAATCATGCCAGATAATGGACACCAACCAGGATGGACCATGAACCTGTGACCACACTGCCTGCTCTCCCTCACAGTCAGTCCCCCAAGAGTCAGGACAGGCCATCCTCACCCTTAGAATATCCCTGGCATACCTCCCTTGCCCCTTCCCAGCCAAGGCTAACTGTTCCACTCAGGGGGCTTCTCCTTTGGGAAGGGGACTCAGCTACTGTGGCCTTCTGGGGGAAGAACAGCGAGTCCCTTTCCAGGTCCCAGCCAGGGCCCTAAGCCAGATGTCCCCACATCCCCACAGACCCAGGAGTGAGGCAGGAGGCCTACCGTGAGGGGCTGGACAGCTGGGGCCAGAAGCCCTGTTTTTTTTCTCAGACGCATGGGAGAATTTTATATGCTCTGCATTCAGCTGAATCCAACCTCGATGCTGACCAAAGTCCCAGGAAGGGTTCCTCCCCTCATGGATTGACTGTTCCCGGAATGACACCAAGGTCACTTGGGCAAGGCCTCTAAAGATTACAAAATGACCCTGAATGGTTCCCATACACAGATGCCTGATAGAGCTTAAATCCCACTGAGACTACAACAGGCTTGTCATCTCTATGACCGTAAATATCCACCACATCTTAAAAAATGCCTCCACAAGCTGAGCGGTAGTGGCACACATCTTTAATCCCAGCACTCGGAGGCAGAGGCAGGAATATTATGAGTTTGAGGACAGCCTAGTCTACAAAGTGAGTTCCAGGACAACCAGAGATACACAGAGAAACCCTGTCTCAAAAAAAAAAAAAAAAAAAAACCCCTGTTAAAAAAAAAAAAAAAAAAAAAAAAAAAAAAAAAAAAAAAAGTGACTCCAGCTGCACTGCACTGAGATGAGGGCCTTTCTCTTCTTTCTCTTTTGAACAGAGGTGTGGGCTAAGAGACCACCTGCTCAGCACTCAGTACTGCCACTAAAAGAAAACCTAGAATGTACCAGTCTCTTTTTACACACATACACACACACACACACACACACACACACACACACAGTCTAGATGGATGATAGATTGGTAGATAGATAGAATATATATGGTGTGTGTAGTGTGAAGTGAGCAAGGGAGAGAGTAACTGGAGGTGTATGTGGGTGTGAACTGAGCATGTGAGAGTGTCAGTTAGGGTATGTGTGTGAGCAAAGTTCTGACCAACCAGTAGGAAGCATTTTCTTTCAGTACAGAAGAAGACAAGTGTCTTCATTTGTTTGTTTTTTGAGACAGGGTTTCTCTGTGTAGTCCTGGCTGTCCTGGAACTCACTCTGTAGACCAGGCTGGACTGGAACTCACAGAGATCCATCTGCCTCCTTAGTGCTGGATTAAAGGTGTGCGCCACCATACCCAGCTGACAGAAATCTTTAAGAGGCAGACAATCAGTGAACCTGGTGCACCCAGGCCCAATCTGGGTGGCATCTGGCCTGGTGGAGGCAGGATCTTTGCTATGAGGAATGGCAGGGCATGGGACCGGCATGTCTTGGGAGACTCACACCCAGGCTGGGAGACAGCTGTCCTACCTGTGCCCTCGGGGCCTTGGATCCTCTAGAAACACAAGTTGTCTCACTTGTCAACATGTCAGAGCAAACAAGAGGAATCTGGTGTCAGAACAGAGTTTGAATTCTGGCTTCTCAATGAAGTAACCATAAGAGAAGTGATTTCATCTCTACAAATTTGTGTGCTCTCCCATAGGAGGCACGAGGAAAGTGTGTGTGTGTGTGTGCACACTCGCGCGTGTGCATATGCATGCACATGTGTGTGTCTGTGTGTCTGTCCACGTGTATCCATGTGTCCAGACAGCAGACAAGTGCACGTATGCATATGTGGTGCAGAGGAATATTTGCATCAAGAGCCACTAGTTCACAAGGTGACCCTGGGAAATTCATTGTATTGAGTTTACTTTCTTCATCTGTCAAATAGGCCAAACCTATTCTTAAAGATCCCCCTTGCCACAGTGGATATTGTTTGCTATTTGTTACTCAACTCCCACATTTTTACCCTAAGGCCTGTTCTCCACCCAGGATCAAATTTTTGTGAGGAGCCATCCCATCCAGGCCAGCTTCATAATGGTGGCAAGGGCAATACCCACAGGTTTGAAACCCCCTCACCAAGAAGTCCACAGAGAACACACTCATCCCACATATATGTTTATTGTTGATTCTGTGCACCAAATCTATCATAAGCAGCATCAAGCAAAAGACAGACCCCCCCCAACCCTGCCCACCAGGGCTCACATTCTATAAAACACCAGGGGCCTAGAAATCTCTAAATGCAATGCTAGCCACTGGGACTATTTTAAAGACCATCTAGTAAGGCAAGCATTCTAGCAGAGCAAAGGCAATGGGAGGCAATAACTCTTTCTCCTTAGAGGAAGGGTCTTGGAACTGGGTGGTGCTTCACCCAGAGACATCCTGCTGCTCTCTGTTTGACCACACTAGTGGCTTCCTTCCTGAGATCATCGTCATTCAATGGCCAGATCTGGTTCTGACCATGGGGTCTGGGGCTGAACCTTGGAGTAGCTTGTAGCTAAGTCTGGGACACACACAAGGCCTGCTTCCTGACTGGGGTTATAGGCCCTCTTTCCATGTCCTTCCCAAGACTGGAAGCGGATTCCAGAGTTCCATTCTGCCATCAGGAAGCCCATGGGAACTGTGTGGCTGCCAGGGAGAAGCTGCAAGACCCTAGCTGTTTGTGTACAGTCTGTTTCCTTGGGTCTCGTGACAAAAGCCCTAGACAGACCAGGAGGCTTTGTACAGAGATTGTCTATTGGGCACTGCAGAAAAGGCCCTAACACAAGAGGATACTAATGGGACTAATTTCACAAGGAGTCAAGAGGGTTAGAAGGAGAATACATGTTAAGAGCCTTGAAGGGCACCCAGGCCTGAACATCTGTTATCGTGGTGACTCTAGGTGGCCTTTATTAGCTCTCTTTCAGCATCGACCTTCTCCCCACTCCACATAAATGCTGGTGATGGTAGTCCAGAAACCAGTAAACAGAGAGGGAAAGTGTACTGAACTCCACAGATTTCTAGGGGCCACAGAGTTTATTCCAACCCCCAAGAATTGAGCAAAATGCATTATCCTGTTAGAAAGGACCCGCCACGCAGTGTTTCCCGCATCTACGACTAGAAGATGTGGAGAAACCAAAATAAGGAGCAGGTCTGACGACTCCATCTAGACACTATAGTGGGGAGAAAGGAAAAGATTCCCATGTCACCTGCACTTGTGCACTTAGCTCACTACCTGTGAGCTCCTAGGCAGGCCAGCCTTTGGGCCAGCAAGGCATATGACTGTCACTGCCAATGTCAGAAGTGGCCAGCAGTTCCAGGTTATAACTGGCAGGGGACACTGGATAGTGTGGATTCCACCTTCCTCCATCCCTAGCCCACTGAGGCTGCATATAGCTCACACAGGGCTTCAGATGGTTCTGGGAACACAGTGCTATGCCAAGCTTCCATCTGCAATGAATCAGGCCCAGCCCTGCCTCAGGGCCCACCAGCAGGTCCCAGTCAGCAGAACCACGCTCACATTCACTCTGGGGTTGGGGACAGCCTTGGTCCATGTGTACCACGGTTTGCCCTGCGGAGATATCTTTTGACTGACATGGGGTTCCCTGGGGCAGAGGGTGTTGGCTCTCACAAGAATTCCTTCTGGATTATTCTGCCAGGGAACTGGAAGGGAGGCCTGGAGCTCCTGTAAGCTCTCTATTGCTAAGACACAGAGGGTTTTCTCATTTGCCCCATAAGCACCACTGCAGGTTGGAAATATATTTCCTGATCCCTGTGGTCAGCTGGAGTTGATAGAAAAACCTGACATTCTCTGTTTCACTATTTTGTTTTTGAGGGAGGCTCTTTCTACATAGCCCTGGATGTCCTGGAACTCACTCTGTAGACCAGGCTGACCTTGAACTCAGAGATCTGCCTGCCTCTGCCCCGCAGTGCTGGGATTCAGGGTGTGCCCCACTGTGTTCCGTCGTTTGTCTGCTTTTGCTTCTGTGCAGGTATATCAGTTGTCCAGAGAGAGCTATGTCACCTTGATCACAACTGTTTAAAGTGTGGAAAGAGATACATGTGTAGCAGGAAACGCAGTCAAGGCAGATGTATTGTGACTGTCACTTAAAGAGAAAACTCTAAACTAACCAATTCAGCTCATAACCAGAACCCAGACAGAAAGTTTTCCAGAGCGAACCCATGCCCTGGTGTGACTTTCCAGCATGTCCTGATATCTGCTGTCTGTGAACACCCTGTAGTCTAGCTACCAGCTGACTAACTAATGTGGATGAAGAATTTGACCACAGTGCAGAAGGATTCCTGGTTTCCATTACAGTTGGTTATTCAATTGGAAGATCTCATCTCTGAGCTATTTTGCTTTCCCCAAATGAAGAACAAAAATTAGAAACAGATTTGGGCATATAATACCCATAAAAGGATGGGTAGAGGGGATGCTGATGAGCAGCATAGGGCCTGTTGGCAGGGAAGATGCATGCTTGCACAGTCTACTGTAGTTCACATGCTTCTGGTCTGGCCAGCTTGGTTGCCTCTTGCCCTGAGTGTACCTCTATCTCTTTTACTCCCAACAGCTGGGCCTTTGCAAAGGCTGCCAATGAAGGGGAAGGGGAGGCTGTGAGTGTCCCTCCCAAGCCCATGGAAAGCTAGAAAGTCCACAGCATCTCCAGAAGTCCTTCAGAGCAAGTAGAATGGAGACACTGTGGTATCATTTCTTGGTGTCATGCTCATCACACAGGTATCTATTCAGATTGAGAGAATTCACCAGGCCGTACACCATCACACTCCCACTTTTCTTTATGTATGTGATCCTTCAATACGAAATCAGAAAGGGAAAGTGTAGGGGTGAGTAAAAGGACCCCAGGCAGCAGGTTTCATCCTTCAGCCATTATCAATGAGCTGATTTCCATGTTTTGAGAACTTAGTGACTGCATGATTTTATACCATAAAGGGCTAAGATCTTCAAAGGAAAGCTTGTGGCTTTGAACATTCTTCTCTCAAAGACTGGACTTGTTACAACAGAGACTGATGACAACTCTGCCTGGGGAGCAGACAGCAAGGGTGTCTTTCTGTCTTGCACAGCACCCTCCAAGCTAGCACAGTGAGCTAAGAGCTGCCAACCTTCTCACAGAGAGAACCTAAGTCTGCCTTTGGCAGCAGAAAAACAAAGGGAGACCTCTCACTTGAGGGGCAGAGTTAAGCCATGGCACAAAAAGAGAAGCAAGAAAAAAAAAAAAGAAAAGAAAAGAAATCAACTTATATAATACTTTGAGGCACGGGCTGTCCCGGCAGAGAACTATCTCATAATGTGAGCAGGCCTTGTCATCATTAAGTCTACAGAGACTGGGAGGGGCTGGGTGGCAGGGAGCTTGTTCTTGGAAATAGTAAGAATTTGGCAGAGGGCCCCTCTGAAGGATGTCTAGGCATTGACCTAGAACCTTCTGGAGTTGCTTGTTTGTTTAATGACCAATTAGATGTCTCTGGGAGCAGAAGTCCTGAAATGCCTGCTTCTCTATAGAAGACCTGGGGGCTCAGGACAAGATGGGGGCATTTTCCCCTGGACCATCAGAGCTTGGCAGTGTGGGCCCAGGTTTGGAAGCTGAATGATCACATGCTCTGGTCCTCTGGTTTCATCTTTGCCCAGCCCTGCTTGAGCCTGCCTCCCTAACACTCATTGGGAGCCTTCATCTGCATCAGGACCGCCTGGCTCCTCTTCTTGCAGCAGCAGCAGCAGATGCAAGCAGCCAGGGAACATGCCAAAGCAATGATGCCAATCACAATGGCAGCAATGGCCAGCCCAGTCTGGGCATCAGTCATGCCCCACGAATTGCGGTCATCAGTGGCTTCAATGGTGGTCAGATCGGTGTAGTCTTCTATGGCAGTGGTGATCTCTGTGGTAGAGGTAATGGATGTGGTGTCAGGATAGCTGGGTGACCCTGCTAGATCAGGGTCTGCATAACGTGGCACTTCCGGGTAGCTAGATACTTCGGGAGCCTGGCCACTGGGCACAGGGAGATTGATATTGATGATGACAAGAGACTGGCCTCGGACATTGGCTGGGCTGGAACACACTGGAAGAGTATCTGTTCCCAACCTGGCTCTGTTGAGAACGAGCCAATTATGGAGTGGGAGGATACCTGAGTCACACCTCCAGGGGTTGTCATAGAGACGGAGCTCACACAGGTTCACCAAGTGATCGAAGATGCCCAAGGGCAAGTTCTCCAGATTGTTATTCTGTAGCTGGATGGTGGTGAGGCCGTTGACATTGGCAAAGATGCTGCCGGGGAGCCTTTGGAGACGGTTATTTTGGAGGGAGATGTTCTGCAGGTTGGCCAGTGCTCGGAAAACATTTCCATCCAGGTCCTGTAGAGCATTGGTATGGAGGGACAGCTCCCGAAGATTTGTCAAGCCATTGAAAGCTCCTGGGGAGATGGAGTTGAGTTGGTTGTGACTGAGAATCAGAACCTGCAACTGGGGCAGGTTGATGAAGGTGTTGTCCGGGATAGATGTGATGTGGTTGTTGTAGAGCCAAAGCTCCCGCAGGTTGGGCATGGGCCCAAAGATCCCCGGGGAGAGCTCCTTCAGGGAATTGCCAAAGAGTGTGAGCCTGTTAAGCTGGGGCAGCTGCATGAAGATGCCAGGGGGTAGCTGTGAGATGTGGTTGTTGGACAGATACAGCCTCTGGAGGTTGCGGTTATTGTGGAACAGGCCAGGGGACAGTGCGCCAATCTGGTTCTCCTGGAGGGCCAGCTCCTGGAGGTTGCCCAGTGCATCAAAAGTGCCCATGGGAATCTCTGAAAGCCTGTTCTCATACAGACGGAGCACTTGGAGGTTGCCAAGATGCTGGAAGACTCTAGGGGACAGGTGGGTGAAGCAGTTCTTGCCCAGGTTGAGCTTGGTGAGTCCCACCAGGTGGTCAAAGGCACTTTCAGGGATGTATTCCAGATTGTTGCCATGCAACTGGAGTTCCTTAAGATTACTAAACTGGGTGAACTGGGCTGGCTGGATCTGAGCCAGTTGGTTATTGGACAGAAGGAGGGATTCCAGATTGTCTAGGCCCCGAAAGAGGCCAGGAGGCAGTATCTGGATTTTGTTGTTGGCAAGACTGAGATAGCGCAGTGAGCCCAGGTTGCTGAAGGCACCCGGCATGATGTTCGACAGTTCGTTCTTCTCCATCCTCAGGGCAATGAGTGCTGAGATGTTGAGAAACGAGGCCCCCGTGATCTCAGTGATGTGTGTGTTGAGGATCTGCAGGCTCATAGCATTCCAAGGCAGAGGGGTGGGCACTGCCACAATTTGGGCTCCTGTACACTCTACCTGGGAGGCCCGGGAACAGGTACACTCACTAGGGCAGCCATAGTAAGCCAAGCCTGCAGCCCAGGCCTGGCAGCCCACCAGCAAAAGGAGATAATATTTCAGTGGCATGGCCTGTGTGGGGAGAGAGAAGCTGTGTGAGTCACGGTCACCTCACTGACCACCAACCTTCAGTTTCAATAGTGGCGTCCAGCCCCACCATCACACACGGAACTCAAAGCTCTCTCTGCTTCGGCCAGAGAGCCCTTGGCCTTCCTACGCCTCACCCTTGCCTAACCAATGGCCTCCCCTGAAAGTTCCTCATGCTTACTCGAGTCGTCCCCATGCTTCTGTGTCAAGTTCAGGTCAAGCCATCACTAAGAAGTTTTCTAGATCTCATTAGTGGGAATTAATCACCCCCTTGTGCAGGTAAGAACTCCCCAGTCCTCTTCTTCTATTGCCTTGTCACAGCCAGCTAAGTTTAGGTGGCACTTATTTGTCTCTTTCCCTAGTTAACAAGCTTTTTAAGGATATTATCTTACAATCCTACAGGTTGCTGAGACAGAAACTGTATCTTTAAATATGTATTCTATTTTTAATTAAGTCTGAGGATTTCAGGCATGCATACGCTGTATTTCAATTATATTCACTCCCCCCCCCACTCCTCCTCCAAATTCTTCCTGGATCTACTCCCTCCTCTCTACCCACCCCATCCCAATTCATGTCCTCTTTTTTTTTTTTTTCATAACTCACTGACTCCAAACTGTGCTGCCCATATATACATGGGTGTGGGGCTGTCCCCTGTATAACATAGTCTACCTACCAGGGGCCACACCCTTAAATAGAACTAAGCATCTATGGATCCCTTAGCAGCTATCAGGTTTCAATAGCTCCTTAGCTAGGAGTGGGGGCTCCTAAGTTCCCTCCCCATCCCATGCTGGAATGTGAACTGTCTTGATTTTGTGCGGGTCTTAGGCAGGCAGCCACAGCTGTGGTGACTCTATGACAGGTCCTTCCCTACCTGTAGCTCTCACAGTCTCCCTGCCCCCTCTTCAGTGAGGTTCCCTGAAGGACTGTGTCATATAATCTCTGTAGCTCTCAGCACATGAACAGGCTGGCCAGACACGGCCTTGTTGGAAGGCCCAGAAAGGAAATGAAAATAAGTCAGTAGGCCAGGCGTTGGTGGCGCACGCCTTTAATCCCAGCACTTGGGAGGCAGAGGCAGGCAGATCTCTGTGAGTTCGAGGCCAGCCTGGTCTCCAGAGCGAGTGCCAGTATAGGCTCCAAAGCTACACAGAGAACCCTGTCTCGAAAAACAAGAAAAGAAAAGAAAAGAAAAGAAAAGAAAAGAAAAGAAGTCAGTATATCAATAGGGTCTGAGCCTGGGATGTTGGTGCTACAGGGATGAGTAGTGGGACCAGCAGAGGGAGGAAACACTAACCTCAAGTAGCTCTCTCTGGCCTCTCTCCTGCCCCTACCAGACCATCGCCACCAACGCCACCCTGGCCCTTTCTCAGCCTGCCCATACATGTTTCATTTAGATTTAATCCAAGCCATCTTCTTCTGATAAGAAGCTACTGTCTGCACCACATGCTGTCTTTCTGAAAGGGGTGGTTGGGCCTCAGCTGATGCCTAGGGTGTGGCTTCTGGTGTGAGCCCTGGTTCCCACAGAAAAACACTGGGTGGCCTGCAGTAAGTCCCTGAAAACACAGACACACTTAAAGCTGGGGTATATAAGTGGGTCCAGATGTCTCCTCAGACGCAGGAGCCCAATACACAGAAGGCTTGGGGTCTGAAGTCACCTATGACAATGCTAAATACAGAGCTGTGGGCACAGTTCCCTGTGCAGATGCTTAAGGTCCTGCTTGGCCTTGAATGAGAGTTCTCAGGCCTTGAGCTTCAGCTTTTTCATCTGCTAAGTTTCTCTTGGGGCTGTTGTGTGGGTTAGATGGGAGAGCAGCCTCGAAGGGCGTCCTGAGGATGACTGTGCTAATGCACACCCTTGTTCCCAGCCACCCATAGCACATGCTCACAGCCCCCAGAGGCAGGAAGCCCTCAGAGTGTCTCTAGTCTGGCATTCTTTGTCAAGGGACCAAGGAGTGGCCTGTGATCTCTGTCCACAGTTGAAAGGAGCCCGTAACTTTTGAGGGTTAAGGAGTTGCCACGTCTCATGATTTTATGGTGAGGCAGGAAGCAAGGAAACCAAGGCTCCAGTCTCCATGCTCCCAGGTGAGGACTTTGAGTGGCATGCAGTGCCTCTCCTAAGGGGCAAAGCTGATGAGTAAGGGCAGGATGTCAGTGAGCGGTCAAGCCACACACTGGGCAAGGGGGAGGCACTTGGCAGCTTCTCTTGGTGCCTAAGATGATGGGATCCTATGACTAGCTCCCCACCCTGGCCTGAGCTTCCTACACCTGTCCTCCATTCCCCCTGCCAAAAAAGCAGCTGAGAAACACCCTACTTATCTCCTACCTACATAGACCTCAACTTTTCATTTATTCACAGCCTTTTCTAGCTCTGGCCTGCTTTACTTTCATGAAGGAAAGTATGTGTATGTGTAACTAATGGGGAAGGAAAAAAGAACAACATGGCCACTAGAGTCCCATGGCAAAAGACTAGGATGCAGGTAAAGCTGCATTTAAACAGCAAGCCAGATCTAGAAAGAGAGAGGGGAAACTGCTTAGACAGGCGACACACAGATCCAGACATAGTGGCTCATGTTTGTAAGGCTACCACTCAGGAGGCTGAAGCAAGATCTCTGCAAGTCTGAGGCTAGCCTGGGCTACAGAGTGAGAGCGTGTCAAAAAAGAAGAAGAAGAAGAAGAAGAAGAAGAAGAAGAAGAAGAAGAAGAAGAAGAAGAAGAAGAAGAAGAAGAAGAAGAAGAAGAAGAAAAAAAAAAAAACAATTTAAATGTCTGGGCACATAGAATTCTGTCAACCCAGCGCGGGGTGAGTGGAGACAGGTGGATCCTGGGAGCTCGCCTGTCGGACAGCCAACCTAGCAGAAAGGAGAAGCTCCAGGTTTAGTGAAAGACTTTATCTCAAAAATTAAAGTGGCATGCAATCGAGGAAGGCAGGTGAAGCTGACCTCTGGCATCCATGTGTGTACCTGAAGGCACAAATGCATCCCGCCCGGACAAACACAAACACACAAAGAGAGCAGAGGAAAAATGGCTCCGTCTCCAAAACCTAAGGCTTTATATTGGCAATAACAAGGAAACAATGCCGCTACAAAAGCTAATGTGATCTTAAATGGTCTCTAGAGAAGTATAAAGTGTGGCAGGGAGGAGGTGATGGTCTTACTCTACCCCCGCCCCGACCAGGCCCCTTGTTATTATGCTGTGCTCAGGCCAATGACAAACTGGTTCTTAAGGAACTCCTGGGGCAGTGGTTCTCAACCTTCCTAATGCTCCACTCTTCAATGCAGTTCCTCATGTTGTAGTTACCCCCAACCATAAGATTATTTTTGTTGCTACTTCATAACTGTAATTTTACTATTATAACTGTAATTTTACTATTATACTTACTATTATAAATTGCAATGTTAATATTTGATATACAGGATGTGAGCCCCACAAAGACGTCACAGCCCACAGATTGAAAACCAATGGCCTAGAGGATGGGGACAGGACATAGGAACTAGACCATCTGAGCTTCCATCGAAGGAGCTACAGATAAATAGCTAGAAGTAGACAGAGAATTCATGAGCCTTTCCAGGGTGTGAAAAACTGCCATGGGATAACAGATGCAATGCAACTCCAGAGACCAACACCAGGGTAGTGGCACAGCAGAGTTCAGTTCACACTTGGTGTGCACAGTCTCACAGAAGCAGCAAGCTTCATGTTCAAGCATAGCGTAGGAACTTTTAGATTGAGATGGAGAGAAGACTCCTTTCCTGAGCAAGTGGTCAGTGGAAAAGACAGCAGCTGTCCAGCCCATGGCTAAGATTTCAGGTTCAATGGTTGAGTCCCAGATAGTGGAAGTGAGAACCACCCACCCATCTCCCAGGAGGCTGGGCAGTCAGGGCTTGTATCTGTCCCTCTCCTTGGTAGATGTGTGTGAGACTCACCACTGTCTGAGGCTTAGATGCTCTGGGTTATTTTTCATAAACATTCATTTGCCCAGCTCCAAGGGTGATGCTATAGCCCAAGTAATAGTGATTACGTGCCAATCACCTGGAAGCTCTGCAAGCTGTAGGAAGCATTGTCCCAGCTAGGTGGGGATATCAGGCCAGCCCTGTGAAGACTCTGAGATCCCAGTGGGGAGGTGGGAGGGGGACCCTTTGCAGCCTGGGAGGAAAACCAAAGAGATAATTCCCTGTGGGAACAGGCACTGTTGTCTAAAATGGACCACACTCAGCACAACAAATATTCCAAGAATCCCCAATGTCTTTTTATAAATCCTCCCTGTCTGCCGAACCCACCCAGAACTGCATACAGCTGTTTCCAGTTTTCCAGTGGTTCATACAGCTGGTGCCCTCCCTCCCCCACCTGCCTGCTCCTGACCACCAGCAGAGAGCACCACAAAGGTGCCCTGCAAGTGGGAGCACTCAAAGCCGGCCTGGAGCTAGACCTTGAACTCTCGGCAGTGCTGCAGGCCATGGCCCTTGGCCACAAGGAGCCAGCCTATGCTGGCCTAATAGCCCACGCTGCCTAGTGCTGCTTGGCAGCCGTGACAATGGCAGTTAAAGGCCCTCAAAGCTGCCTTAATTACAGCTTCCTCCTCCAGGCATCGAGCGCGTCCTCAATCATTTCGGCCAGTCCCTGGGGAGGGGGTACATGTGGCGTCAGTCAGGTCCATGTAGTCAGAGGACTGAGCAGACAGACAGAAGGACAGACAGCTCACCTGGACATGGACATGGCCCCTCCCCAGGAGTGGAAACGATTGAACAGGGCGCTGGCTGTGGGTCTCTTTGTAGAAACACCCTGTGACTCACGAGCGAGTAAACACATAATTAGCCTTGAAGCCCTGGGCTTTGCTGGTTGGGAGCTGGGCTTTCTTGGATTAGTAGCATCGTTCATGTTCACTAAACACAGTGTTCCCTGGAAAAAGACTCCTCATTTCAATGCCACAAAGTGAGACTTTTGAAGAGAGCCAGGGAGACCCCTATTCTACAGTAGTCTTGACATTAACAACCCGAGTTTAGGTAAATACTGCAGGCCTCAGTTTCCCCTTCTGTAAAAGCTTCACAAGCCCTTATAGCTCTAGTGTTGCTTCTGCTGAAGGCAAAAAGGAACCTGGAATAAAGACTTACCCATCCCATCCCTTCTTCTCCATGAAGAGTTGACTGGCTAGGCCCCACTCGCACACCAAAGCCTTACTCTCTCAAGCCTGCTTGTTTCAAAAGTTTCCCTGGCAGGGCCACCCCACAAGTTATTCACTGTATCGTCACATAGCCAAGACCTGAGAGGACCCTTAAGGGCCTCTCCTGTCCTATCCAGTGCACCTAAGGCAACTGAGGCTCACAAAGAGGATCCCCCTTCATGCCTGTAACACTGCCTGAAGATAGCTTCCTAATCAAGGCCTCTTTTGGAGTGAGATAGACCCTAGGCCATGCAAAAGAGAAGCCAGGCTTGGCCCTGTACTCCCCATCCCCAGCCAGTGTGTTTGTCCTCAGTCTGGCTGCTCTTTGGTGCACAGTCTAAGAGGTGTGAAGTCAGAGAGGCTGGACCTGGATAGAATTCATGCTTGGGGTTGGTCTGTCTCGTCTCTGTCTCTCTCTCTCTCTCTGTCTCTCTCTCTCTCTCTCTCTCTCTCTCTCTCTCTCTCTCTCTCTCTCACACACACACACACACACACCTAAGAATCTTGTTGACTAGATCTGATCTCCTGCCATCACTACTGTGACTGTGAACTGACCTAATGTGTGCAAGACACTAAGAATGATTCTGGAAACAAAATGGGTTCCCATTAAAAGTGAGGGATGATTATTGCTAGGTTGTTGTTGAGCAAAATCATATCTCTGGAGGCTCCACCCACAGTGTTCCTAACCTCTAAGCTGGGCTGAGGCCTAGACCCCCACACACAGGAACTCCCACTCTAGCGTACACAGATCACACTCAGAAGTACCTACAATGTGGTCTAGACTACCTGGGAGCCCATGCTCATAGCCTGTGTCATTTAGCCACCAAGAACAGAGAAAGAATGGGAGTAGGAGAGACTGAAAGCTGTTTCACTATCTAGGCACACTTCCTGGTTTGTCTCCCTGACCTGGAATCTGAAGCTTGTATTAGTTGAGCCTAGAAGCTGCTTCCAGATATAGTTCGTGGGATCCAGGACATCACCAGTACAAGAGTCTTTTGAAGTCATCTGGTCAGACCATTTGGCTGTTGTGTAGATGAGAAATTGACAGGTCCATAGAGAGGAAGGGACTTACCCAAGGTCACACAGGCAACTGAAGACTCAACATAGAGCCTGGTGAACCTCTGGACCTCATTATGAGGCTATTACAGGGCCTTGTTTGTGTAGGCTCCCACCTCCAGCAGTGTGGGGGAGAGGGGGCAAATGCCTTGCTCATCCCCCTAACCTAACTGCCCTACACACAATCACTTTTCACTCTTCAGTATTATTAGCCAAGTCCAAGTCCTCTCCCAACTCATTCTGCAAGTGACTTTCTGCTCTATGGCTACCCTGATGGTGTGTTGTTAAGGGTTAACGGAGTCACCGGGAAGAAAGGAGAGAAGGTTCAGAAGGGGGGCACCAGCCTGGTAATCTCAGCACACACAGCCCATGATTTAGGAATACTCTAGCCAGACACAAAGCACCCTGGAATCCCACAGCAAGATTGTCACAGTCTCATGCTCCGGGGTCCTTCAAAGCCAAACTATTGTTCATTGTCTTGTTTTGTTTTTTAAAAAAGACAAAGAATAAGAAAAAGCAATTCCTCCCCAGGCCCTCTTCGGGGACCCTCCCAAGCCTGGGCAAGCCTAGCCTGGCTTCCTGCAGAGGCCAGAGCAGGTCTGTAATTTGCCAGGCAAGAGCTGCAAGAACACAAACTAGCCAGCACAATGGCAGGAGTTGGGAAGTAGCGACTTTTTATAAGAAGCCACAGAGTTCCAAGATGCTCCTCCTCAGTGTAGCACCTTAGAGCTGAAGCAGAGGGAAATGGTGTGGTCTCTGAACATCTCGGAAGCCACTTCTGCTGTCCTGTGTCCCACAGCCAAGGCAGGCACTGGGACAGGCAGCTTCAGCAATTCTACAGTGGTCCGGAGTTGGGGAAGCAAATTGTCATCTGTAATGACAGCTTTCGTGTGTTTGCTGGCAGGACGAAGTCTGGGCAATGTCTTTCCCAGCTCTCATTTCTGCACATCTGGGTCTATTTCCGCTCATGCCTCACCTCCCTCCACGTGCAGAGCTGATCTGGGTAGTGGCCCCCAGCCTTGGGAAGGACCTTCCTACACTTGTCGTGGGGTCTTCTCAGCTCACTTCCTGGCCACGACCCTCACATATGCCTTCCCTGCCACTGTTGCTGCTGAGAACAACAGCTGACTCATGACCACAGGAAACTTTGACTGTCTGGCCCTGAATTTACTCCAGATGTTCAGGCGATGCAGAAGGAAAGAAGACCCAGTTAGTGGATTTCCAAGTTACAGAGCAGGGGCACCCACACATCTGAGAGCCGCCTGCTATAGGCAATGCCAGCTAGATACCCTGGGAGAGATGCCGGCGGTGGCAGGCAACACTGAGCACATGAGTGCGTGTGTCATCACGGGAGTCACCATCTGCCCTGGGGTAGTGCGTTCAGGCCTAAGGTAGAATGGCCCAGGTTAGAAGGTCCAGAAGGCTCTGCTTTTCCACAGTTGATTCCTGTGCATGTGGGCAGAGACTCGGGTAAGGATGGAGTAAAAACCCACCCAGTCAGCTGTGGCTGTAGTTAAGTTGTAGAGTGCTTGCTCAGCATGCTTGGGGGCCTGAGCTTGATCCTCAGCACAAAATACATACATACACAGGAACACACACACACAATCCACAACACAAAAAAAACAACACAACAAAAAACACACACACACACACACACACACACACACACACACACACACACACACACACACACGGCACCTAATTCTCATCACGAACCTACCTCCAGCCACTTCCCAAACTCCTGTGACACTTTTAGGTCACCAGAATGGGATCATCTAAGCCACACACAGAACTAGAACCTGGACATCTAAGCCCAAAGCTGGATCCCAAATTGGCACTCCTAAACAGGGACTAGACATCTCCTGAAGTCTGGCGGGTAACACTGTCAATCTATGACAGTTAGAGGGCTGATTTCTCCCAGGCAGAAACCCATGAGGCAAAATTCACCATCCTGGATAGATCCGTGTGCAAGGGCCCCTATAAGCAGCCACCTCAGTAGATGCAAAAGAAATTATACAGGTTCCAACAGCTGGAACCTAAGAGAAACTCCTATCTTTGTGGATCTGATATCTTGGAGGATGTAAAACCCCGTGCTTCAGTCAACTTTCAACTAACTCCCTGCAGGTCAAAAGCTCTCCTCGCTGCACCCCAAACTGACTCCCCAGACCATAAAGACAAGTAGCATCAAGATTTACAGCTAGACCCTGGAACCGGGGCAGTGGGGGCAGGCCCGCCCAGCTCCTGTGCAGCCTATACCTGTCCAGGTCCTCAGAGCATCCGAAGCACCAGCCAGCCCTGCCCTTCTGGAGTCTCTCCCGGGATCCTATGGTCAACCGGGAGGTGGGGCGCGGCCGGGAGAGAAGGGCGGGCACCCACTTACCAGCAGCTCCACGCGGCTGCCGGGTCAACAAGAGGGAGCCGGTGAGGAGAGGAGGAGGACCAGGCAGGCTCAAGGCTGCAGCATGAGTGCGGGCCTTCTGGGTCCTCCCTGTCATTTAAACATCCCCTTGTGAGTCACCGCAGGGGGCAGTGTCGACCTGCGGGGCGGGGCAGCCCGACTCTGGGCGCATCATTGAGGAACTTCGTTCAAGCTCAAGGGGTGCATTTGAAAATAAGTTTCTCTCTCCCCTCCCCCGCCCCGCCCTTCCCCATCTTCTTCCGATTAGCTTTCTGTGTCCACTGCGTTGCTGGAAAGGGGGTTTTCTGCCACTTCAGTGAGACTCTGAGTGACTGAGAGCCTGCACTTGCCTTAGGCACCAGCTCAGGGGTGGCCAAAGTCGTGTTTCCTGTGGCCTTTGAGTCCACTCTCCTCTTCACCCCCTTTCCTTCTCCCTAATTCTAGACTTTTTATATAGAAATAATGCATATTTTACAGAAAATATGCAAGAACAATATAAGGAATACTCAGATACTCCACCCAATTCAGCCATTGGTAACATTTCAAAAATGGCATTTATTTTAAGTTCCAAGGAAGAATATCATTTCTTCTGCCATGTCTCTTCTAAAAGCAGCATTTCATGTCCCTCTGGGGCCATCTTCTGCTCCTAAACTGCTGCCTCAGAGGTGCTTGCAGGCCATGGCCCTGGGCTGTGACTGCCATGGAGGTGGTTGGTGAACATGAAGGCTTCTCACACCCTTCACCTCTGCACCACAGCCCAAGCATACCCTGGGGCCCCTACAAGCCCCAGGAGGGAACCAAGATACTATTTCTATTTAAATTGTCCCTGAGAAAGAGATTCTGGGAAGAAGATTGAGGAGTCACAATTGGGGAGGGGATGGCCAGACTTCAGCTTCTTTTCCATGACTTTTCCTCAAACAAGGCAGGAGCCACTTAGAGACTGAAGGTGCCTTGCTTCAGTTTACCTTCTCCACCAAGCGGCGAGAGTGATGTTTGCACCCAGCACCTGGTGGAACACCGGGAGCCTTAATTAATGTTTGCAGGGTGCTTGGAGTTCTGCGATGAAAGGAGGACATAAAAGTGCAGTGTTATTACTGAAACAGTCATTTGGGTGGTCAAGCCTTACAGCCTGAATCATGCCTCACCATGGCACCATGAATCACAGCCAGAAACAAAAGTACCTTGGCTATTAAACAAGGAGCAGAGAGCACCGCCACCACACCCCCAGCCCCAGCTCTTCAACCTCAGCCTCCTTCCCACTGGTAGTCCACAGGAGAGCACCTTCCTCCTCACCCCTAACCTTGGAGCCTCCACATCTGGAACCCAGGGGCATCAACATCCTGCCCATGGACCTTCAAAAATAAGAATATTCTGCTTGTCCTGTCCCCTTCCTCCAGTTCCTACACACAATCACTGACTGCGCTAGGCTGTGGGCTGAGAGTTGTCGTCAACACCAGGTCCATTTAAGGATGCCCATGCAAGCGGCGTGCCTGTAAGATGGGTGTCCTGAAGAACGTGCATTGCATTTCTATATTGCTTCCTCTACACCTTGTTCTTCAACCAAACCACAGTGCCATTCAGGGCCAGGTGATGTTTCCTGTGGAGCTGCCCAGGGCTTTGCAACTCTGGCCTCTACTCTCTAAGAGCCAGTAGCATCACTTGTGTAGTGGTGACAACAAAAACATGTCCCTAGACATTGCCAAATATCACCTTCCAATGGGGAGGGGTGGGAGAGAATTATGGGCCTATCAATGGTTCTCTACTGCAAATGATGTAATTATCTCCAACACAAGTCCCAGGCCAGTGCTGACTCCCCAGAGGTCACACACACACATCAAGGGGCAGAGCAAGGATCCAAAATTTGTGGCTTCGCCATGTGTCTAAGTACTCAGATAGGCATGACCTGGGCAGTTAAAAAACACCGAACTATTTAGACAGGCTCTGTGGAGGGAGAACTGTGAACAGACAGGATGGGAATGAGGGCCAGCGCAGTCCTTGGGGTAAGGCTGGAAGCATTTGCAGACATGGTGCTGAAACCATCAAGGCAAAGCAAGGAAAGCACTTGGCCAAATGTCACTTTCGTTTGAAGCCCAGATGTGTGATGGAATTGAGGACACCTGGGATGCCTCCCAGAGGAGTGGGTAGCCTCACAGGCAGTGTGGCCTCGCAGGCAGTGGGGTGCCACCAGAAGCAGTGGAAGGGGAGGGAAGTATGAGCAGAGCTCTCTGCAGGATGCTGGTGTAGGGAGAGGGTGCCAAGTTTCTGGCCATCGTGATAACAAGTAGCTGATGTACACTAACCGGGACATGCAGGAGGACCACCCCGGGATGCCCTACAGATCCCCTCACACTTGTGCTTGCGTCCTCAAGTATGAGAAAGCACCATGCTGCCCAGTCAGCCCCCACAAGTGAGACATATTACTTCGGAAAGGAAAAGCCTGACTCACCACCCTAAGGCCCCGTGGCCTCAGGGCACTCTTTCTATCCTGCCCCGTAGGGAGAACCAGAAGGGCCAGGTTTGCTGAAGAGCTCAAGAGAAGTCTGACTCCCCTCATTCAGACCCATGTGGACCTATTTTGGTTAAGAAGGGTACAGCGGCTGAGATGGCTCGGCAGGTAAAAGAACTTGCTGCACAAGCCTCACAGCCTGAGATGGATCCACAGAGCCACATTTAAAAAGCCTCATGCACATCTGTCGTCTCAACTCTCCTCCTTCAAGACAGGACTAGGAGACAGCAGAGTCACCTGGGAGCTCTCAGGCCAGCTAGCCTAGAACTGCCATATCGCAGAAACAAAAGAGGCCCTTCCTCAGCAAGACAGAAGGAGAGAACTGACTCCCAAAAGCTGTCCTCGGACTTTCGTATAGCATGCCATGGTATCCACGGTATGCTAGCACCCAGGCTCACACACACAAATCTCATAGACATATGCTTTCTCTCTCATACACACACACACACACACACACACACACACACACACACACACACACACACAGAGAGAGAG